CGCCGAGGCTGAGTAGGGTGGTGGGGCAGACCCGCAGGGCGCCCGCTGTGGCGTGGGCAAGTCCCAGGGCCCGGAAGACAGTGAGGACAGCCTGCGCGTTCTGTGAGCTGAGCAGGTCAGTTTGTGTAGCAAACTTACCCAGTTTTGAGAGAGGAGCCGTGAGGGTGGGTCTTTGTTCCCTTAAAATCAGCATCTTGCTGGAGGTCTTTGTGCACAGGAGGATGCGTTCATGGCCACTGGGTGATTCCTGGTTCCTTAAATCTCTGACTGAGCAAAGGTGAAAGCAGGCAGTGCTAGGCCCCGGTGCCCAGTGCCCGCGGCCCTCGGCTCCTCACTGGGAGCCTGGCATTGACCTAGCAAGTTCCTCGACTATAGAGGGAGAATGAGGACCCGCGGCTGGCAGCAGTTCTCCCCGAGCGCTGTGACTTTTTCAGGTGGAAATTCAGTGGAGAAGAGCTGGGTGGCCCCCTGTGTACTGGGAAGCATGCAGTTTGAGTTCAGGCTTCATTTTGTAACAGGAAAGGGGATGGGGTAGCTTTCCTGGGCCTCAGGCATATTTGTGTGGCATCAACCCCCTGTCCTGTAAAAAGATTCGGTTTTGGAAACGGGTGGTTGTAGGGTACCTTGTAATGTTAGACCCTGAGATCTGGTAATGTTGGGGGTGTTAGGATGTAGCCCTGCCAGGGAGGCAGAGCCCACACAAAGAGTGGGGTCCAGGAGAGAGAGGGGGGCAGCAAGGCCTGGGCCAGAGTCCAGCTGCAGGACGGGAGCTAGGATGCTGGTGCCCACAGACCAGGTTTTGTGGCTCCTGAGTGAGGGGCCAGGAGGTGCTGTCTGGGCCCGTGGATGCAGATGCTCTGTCTCTGCTCTTAGGGACCCTGTGGGCTTTGGTCCTGCATCTCACCCCTCCTGCAGCCAGGCTGTGTTCCAGCAGGGGAAGCTGGGGATAGGCGCCCATTCTTCCCACGTCTCCAGCTCAGGATTTGCCCAGTTCTAGCTTTCCAGAGCCCTGGAGGTCTATCTCCCACCACTTGTTGCCCCAAACAAAATTGGGGGGCTGGGCTGGTGAGGAGGAAGAAGTGGGTGTTTGAATGGCCTGGCATGGTGGTGCCCAGAGGGATTGGGGAGTTGTCCTTGCCCAGGCAGTGGGAGCCCAGAGAAGGTCCAGGTGCACCCCACGCATCTGTGGTGCATTTGGGGAGGCTGCCCTAGAGTCCCAAGGGCCGGGGTGCATGTGAACAGCCTGGGAGAGACATGGGTGCTCACTGGGCTGTGGCAGTGTGACTGGGCAAAGCAAGTGCACTGGATGGACAGACGAGGGATGTTGGAGCTGAAAGACAGGGTGGGGGAGGACAGCCCCCATCTTCTCTTGTGCGGCTCCAGCCTGGAAGCAGAGTAGGAGCCGGGCTCCGGGAGTGGGAAAGCCGTGAGTTCGTCTGAGGGGTTTCTGAACACTCACTTGAAGGCAGATGAGCAGGGCCATGGGGCGGGCTGCCTGAGCGCCTAGCAGAAGCCTCGGCTGGCAGGTGGTGGTGTGCACCTCCCAGGGTGGGGCTGGCGGGGGAGAGGAGCTGGCACCCCTGGCCAGGCAGTGCAGCCAGCTCCACCCACCAAGCAGGTAGGGTTCAGACATGAGGGCATCCTTTCTGATGCATAACCATGCCCCCAAATAAAAGAGCCCCCATTGTTGGACACCGAGGGAGATCTTAGCAGTGAGCCTGTGGTGGCTGCCGGGCAGCCCAGGGCCTTGGGTCTGATGTCACTGGGGAAGGACTCACCCCTCCTCAGACAGGCAGCAGTTGTCACTGGGACCCATCTCAGTGCCAGAACTTGAAGAACACGTGCTCAGGAGACCCCAACTCTGACTTATCTAGCCTGTGACCTCACGTGGGGGACTTACTTGAGTAGCCATGACCGTAGGCCTGAGCAACAAGCAGGTGGGGGGTCCCATGCTGCAGGGTTTGTCTGGAGAGTAGCTTGACATCAGTCCTGGGCCAGTGACACCCCTGGGCACCGGGCAAAGGCAGGCCCCAAGCCTGTCTAAGCTGGGGTGCACAGGGGCCACCGGGGCGGGCCTGTCAAGGACTCCGAGAATGATCCAGGGAGGGCCAGGGTCCCCTTTGGAGGTCTTTGGGCGATGACCTGCCAGAGACCAGCCAACACAGATGTAAAGAAGGAATCAAAAGGTTGAAGGGAAAATGAGAGTAAATGCAATGCCCGCAGCAACCTGACCCGCGGCAGGTGGGCTGAACCGGTGTCCTGACAGCGGCCACCCAGCTCTCCCGCCAAGAACAACTCCAAACACTAGGTAAACAGTGAAGTCACTTGTGGGCATGGGAGAGCCAGCAAATGTGAAAAGACAGGACCAAGATCCGCAAGGAGAGGGCCCTGGGCCGTGGCCGCTGCTCGGAGGTGTCAGCTGCCCCAGAATGAAGAGGAAACGCAGAGCCCTGTGACCTCGGGGACCAGGCAGCCCGGGCCCCAGGCCCGGGTCGGGCTCAGCCAAGCCCAAGAGGAGCCGTCTGGTGGGGGCTCTGCAGGGCCAGGGTCTCACATCCTGCCCTGGAGCGGAGGGAGAACACCGGGATGGACGAGGCACCCGGGTGGGGTCGGCCAGAGGGCTCTCTGCACCAGGGCTGCAGACAGAGTGCGGCGTCGTATTTTCAAGGCAAGTTCTCACAGGGCCTGCCGGCGGGTGGAGTAAGGGAGCCCTCACCTCAGGGACAGGCCCGGGGCTCTTGGCACCCCATTCGCAGGGCTGTGGGCTGACACACGGGTGGGACAGGCCAGAATTCCATACTTGTGTTTTTGAAGTTATTTTAAACTGGCGATGAAAACTTGTAAAATACTCACAGTCCCTGTCATGTTTCCCTGTATTAGATTTTCAGCTCACACCCTGGCGCTTTGCCGGGCAGAGGCTTGTCGTCGGGGTCCCTGCTCCCCGCCTCTCCATGCTGCTGTCGCCAATGAGATAAAAGTGCCTGCAGCGCCGTGTCATGGCGTCCTCAGCTAACCCCCAAGCCCTGGCAGAGCTGGCACCCGGCCCCGAGGAGAAGCCCAGGGGGAAGCCAGCCCTCACCTGGGGTTCTCTCTTCGGCCCCCGAAGTGAGCAGATTGTTTTCGCCAAGAGTGGCAGCAGCCCCGAGGAGCACACGCTCACCGTCACCATCACGGAGACCACTGTCATCGAGTCGGACCTGGGCGTGTGGAGCGCCCGCGGCCTGCTCTACCTCGCGCTGTGGTTCTTCTTCAGTTTCTGCACGCTCTTTCTCAACAAGTACATCTTGTCTCTGCTCGAGGGGGAGCCCAGCATGCTAGGTAACCCGGCCCTTGCTGTCGGGGCCCCGCGTGCTTGCGGGTCAAGCTGCCAGGCACAGAGGTGCACAGGGGTCGCCTGAGGTGTGCCTGGGGGTGTGGGTGGCAGGTGGTCTGTCTGTGTGCAGGAAGGGAGTGCCCGCTCCTCAGGCCGGCCTCTCCATCTCCCTTCAGGGGCCGTGCAGATGCTGTCAACTACGTTCATTGGATGTGTCAAAATATTCGTTCCTTGCTGTTTATATCAGCACAAAAGCCGGCTTTCCTACCCGCCCAACTTCACCATGACCATGCTGTTGGTGGGTCTGATGAGGTAATGGACCTGACGCTTGGGCTGAGGGTCCCCTCCGTGCACAGGCAGACCTCGCCTCGCCACTCTTCACAGACGCCGCACTGCCTGCACACCGGAGGCTGTGGCTGCCCTGCGTCCTGCAGTTCTGCTGGCGCCATTTTTCCAACAGCATTTGCTCCCTTTGCGTCCGAATCACATTTGGACAGTTCTCATGACATTTTCAGCTTTTTCGTGGTGTTTATATCTGTCTGGGGCTCTGTGACCAGCGATCAGGACTGCCTGGACGCTCAGGCAGCATTCGCTAGCAGTGAGGTGTTCTCGATGCGGGTGGGCCATTGTCCTTCAGACCCAGTGCTTCTTTGGCACAGGTCAATAGACTGCAGTCTGGCGGAAACAGAAACAGCTTTTATGCACACTGGGGAATGGAACACTTAATTTGACTCATTTATCGCAGTGCTTCGGAGCCCAGCCTGAGGTATCTCGAGGTGTGCCTGTATGTAAATACCCATCCCATCACTAAGAGTGATGGGTGCTGTAGTCAGGCGGTCGTGGGTGTGCTTCCAACGCAAACCATGAAGTCATAAGGGCTGCCTACATGTTAGGACAGCACACATTGTAGGTTTTGTGGATCATAATGCTGTGTAGATGTGATTAGATTCTTTCAGGAGCAGCCATGAATTCACTTAATCATAGTTTGGGAGTAACACACCTCCATTTCTCTGGGAGCTACAGCATCAGAAGTCCTTGTGGGTGGGTGGAGGTCCGGGCCCAAGACATCCCCAAAAGGGCATGGAGGGCGGGGAGAGGGGGGAGGGGCAGGAGGGTGGCCCTGTGTGACCCCAGCCTGGCTGACACCGTGGACCAAGCCGCAGGCAGACCAAGCACCCCAGCAACACCCCTCTTATTCTTAGGTTTGCAACAGTGGTTTTGGGGCTGGTCAGCCTGAAAAACGTGGCAGTTTCATTTGCCGAGACAGTGAAGAGCTCTGCCCCCATCTTCACTGTGATCATGTCCCGGATGATCCTGGGCGAGTACACAGGTGAGTGGACCTCCCGTGGGCCCTGGACAACGCGGTCAGCCCCTTTCCCCCAACAGCCAGTGCTGCCAGGGAGCTGCTCCGGGCAGCCACGGCACTGGGCTTCCCCTCCAGGAGGGCACACGCTTTCCTTCTCTCTGGAATGTTTTTTTGACACACGGGTCAGAGGCATTGCCGCTGGCAGGATGGTAGGGTCTGGGTAGAGGATGGACAGGCAGGTAGCCACAGGCCATCCCAGGAAGGTGAGACCATCTTCCACACCTGCGAGGTGGTGCCTGTGACAAGGGTGGCTTGGCCCCAGCATGTGCGGCTCCTGGACCCCTGACCTTTCTTGGGTCCTCCCCAAGGTCCTCTGACCCCCTCCTCCCAAGCAGCGCCTGCTCTTCACTACTGCTTAGCTGTGCTGCTCTGTCCTCCGCAGGGTTCAGCAAACTGGATTTGTTTATAAGTCTCCAACCTTAATGACAGTCAGGCTGTTACCAGATGCACGTTACACGCACATTTTGCTTTTCCTACCAACCAGCCTTTTAAAAAGCAGCATATCTGTTATTGTTCCATGAAAACAAGTCACATGCAGAATAATACATGTGATGCATATTTTACCTTACAGGAGAACTGATAGATACAGTTGTAGGTAGGTATTTGCTTCAATTAAGTAAATAATGACAACTTAAAATAGGACAACTACCTTCCTTGGGGGAGGGGGGACAATGGCTGAGGCCAGGGACTCAGCTGGACTCTGCATGGACGAGCTGCACAAGGTCGTAGGAGGTGGCGAGACAGGGTGACACCAGTGTCAGTGGCAATTACTGAGTCATAAGCAACTGGGAACAAGTGAGTCTGGGAGCATATCAAGCCACGGCTTCTGCATGGAAGGATTTATTTCAAGTGATTTTAATACATGATGTGGCTTCCACCTGCAGTGGATCTTGTAGCAATCAACTGTCTTGCTGAGAACAATTAGAAAATCTTGATAAAATTTAGCAAAAAGAAACCTGTGGGGAGGCACTAGGGAATGGCCAGGTATCAGGACACGAGGGGCCACGATTTCAGAGCCCAGAGCCACACGGAGAAGTGGCTGCAGTGCATGGTCCCCTCCCCACAGAGGCGCTTGCGGACCCTGGAGCAGTAGCCGCCTCTGGCTGCCCCGGTGTCCTTTGGGCCCCACGTCTGTGGGCGCCCTTGGGTGGGGGCGCCTGCCCCACCTGCGCCTGCAGCAGCAGCAGCCCTCAAGGCTCCTGACTTGAGGTGGGTTTTGACCATGGAGTCCGTCACTCAACAGAAACTTCCAGGCAGCCCAGAGGACAAGAACCAAATGATCGTGTGCTGGGAGGACACCTGCAGAGCGGGCCCAGCACGCCAGGCTTCCTCCCTACCAGGCCTACAGCTGTGGAAGCCCGTAGGTCTCTCCTCAGGTCTCTGGCTACCGCCTTCGTCGAGTTGCTGCTCCGGACAGCACTGCCTCAGGACCCCATCATCTTGTGGGGTCAGCACAGGGCATCTGGGGGCCACACCTCTGTCCCTACACAGGAGGGCCCATGCCCTCATCTGCTTTGAATTCCAAACTAAATCCAATGCTGTCACCTGAAATTACAGCAGAGTTATGAGAGGGGAGACCCGAAGCCAGCTCCAGAGTGAATGTGATCCCCTCGCGCTGAACAGGTGTGCTTCCCATTTGGATCAAGGGTTCAGAATGAAACAGAGGCGAGCGCGCAGCAGGGAGCCTTGTATGCAGGCGCTGAAGCACCCGCCCACCCCCGTTTTCCCTTTCTTAGTAGAATGGCCTGGACATGGCCTCAGCTGCCTAGGGGTTGGGGTGAGGGTGACGGGCATATCTACAGGCCTGGGCTTTGGTTTGCTCTGTTTTCCCTCCACTGTGGCACAGAATCTGATCTGTGTGTGTATGAACTGGAGTGCAGCTCTGGTAGGCCGCAACCCCAGGAGGGGTTAGCCGCGGGCAGGCTGACCCCCCCACCCCTGTGTGTGTGTGTGTGGTGCCCTCACCAGGTCTGCTGGTTAACCTCTCCCTCATCCCAGTCATGGCAGGCCTGGCACTGTGCACAGCGACCGAGATGAGCTTCAACATCTTGGGGTTTTCGGCCGCGCTGTCCACCAACATCATGGACTGGTGAGTCATGGAGAGCGTGGAAACACATGCTCGAGAGATGGCCCTTTCTTCCTGCAAATATGGATGTTTAGAGCCAGGTTAACTCAGAGTTGTGTCCCGTAATTCAAAGATAGTGACATTAGAGCTGACTTTTCCTGAAGAGCAAAGTAGTAAGTATCCCATTGAGGCAACTTTTTCTCAGCAAATGAGTGGAATTCTGCCTATGCATGGACTTGATACTAAAGTCATCACAGAGATGCAGTGAGCTGATCAGTGCTGAGCGCAGGGGTGTGAAGGCGGCATTCAGTCTAATAAAGCACAGCAGAACTCAGGGCCTCCTGTGTGGCCGCCGCAGAGGATGGGCAGGGCACTTGGCACATGGGCTTGTGTTCCTGGGCCTGTGGTGGGGAGGAGGGGCAGACACCCCACCTACTGCGTGGATGAGCCTGGAGAGGCAGGCTCTCACATCAGAGCGTGTGTTGGAGTCCACACCTATGCCTCTGCAAAACCTGTTGTTGCAGAGTTACCAGTGGCTCCCGCATTTCTGCAAAGAGCAGCGGTGGCGCGGAGGGTCTCTGGCGGCTACCGTTGCTGTGCCCGCTGATGGGAAACAGCTGATCTCGCGGTTTTGAATGACACAGCTAGCAGAGCATAAAATTACCTTTAATGCGCGTCTCACATTTAGGTGCATTCCCTCCAGGCCTCCCCCCGGCACCTGTGGCCCCTAGAGCCCTAGCGCAATGCATCCTGTGCTCACCTTTGCTGCTCCTGTGGTCCTGTGAACGTGCCGGCCCCTTGCTCACCTCGCAGATGTGCCGTGACTTGATTTTTTTGTGTAGATGTTCAGGGAACGTCGTTTCACACGTCTCTGCCTAAATTTCTGACTGTCCCTTAGCGTAAATTCCTGAGGGACATGGGTCCCCAGGCGCCTCTGAAGGCTCTTGACCTGTGTTGGCCAAGTATTGCCCACACGTTATTTGGGTCTGTAGTCCCAGTGGTGAGGGTTTCTGTCTAACCTCATCCACGGCTGAGTTTTTGCACTAAAAACAACCCCCCTGGTTCTGGAGTCGAGGGAGCAGTGCCATTAGCTGAAGCACCAGCCGCTGTGGTTCCTGGGAAGCTGGACACTGTCTAGTTTCCTCTGTGGCCATGTCTCCTTTCCCACGGGCGGGCTGCCCTGCCCAGGAGCTGTACCCACACTGTCCTGGGGTCTCTGCGTGTGGAGACTGTCCTGTTCTCCTGCTCCCACTCACTGCCCAGCCCGTGGCACCTGCCGACTTCTGGGAACTCGTGCTTCAGAGCGGGGTTTTGAGCAGCACTTAGAGCAGGGCCTCTGGATACCTGACACCCAAGGGTGGGTCACCTCAGGCATGTCACCCAACCCAAGTGCCTTGGCCCCCCCATCTGTATGTGGAAGACAGGCATGGCGCCCCTCACTGTGAAGTGATACCCGGGTACATCCAACCAGCCCAGCTCCCCGCAGTGGTGGGCCCTGGGGTGTGGCCCCACTGCTCTTTGGGAGGACACGAACGCTTTGTTTTCTTGTGGCTCCGTGCTGACTCCTCACACTGATGGTGACCTCTATTTTTCTTTATTCTAGTCTGCAAAATGTTTTTTCGAAAAAGCTCCTCAGCGGGGACAAATACAGGTTCTCGTAAGTATTGACAAATGAACTGTCCAATTCGATGCCCAGTTGGGGGTTTAGAATGCCCTGTAGGCCTGGCATCTTCCTCAGTCTGGCTCAGGTAGCCTTTGAAAGAACTTTGTTGAAATTTGGAAGAAAAACACCTGTTGGAGCTGCCCTGTCGAGGCTCCTTAGTGACAAGCTCGTCAGTGGCTGCCGTTCCTCCCCCAGCAGCCATGTCGGCTGGTTCTGCTCATACAGGCCCTCCTTGCCACCTGGGAGGAAATAAACCTGTGTGCGCAGGCGCTGTGCCACTTGCCGTGAGGCGCCTTACCATGCAGGGATGTCAGGTGCCCCGTTGTCCCCGCAGGGCTGCGGAGCTGCAGTTCTACACCAGTGCCGCTGCTGTGGTGATGCTGGTTCCAGCCTGGGTCTTCTTGGTGAGTTTGGGAGTGGGCGCTGCTTGGCGCCTGGCTGCCGATGATCATTAGCAAATCAGGAGCAGATCGTTTAGCCCTCCAGGTCACATGGGTAGCCTGCGGGGGCATGGCTGGTGGAGTCAGCCCCGTGCCCCTGCGGATGAGGGGGAGGAAGTGGAAGCCAAGCCTGCAGGCTCTGATGCAGGGTGTGTGGGGCTGGCTGAGCAGCTTCTTGAAATTCTGTGGGAGGGTTTTAGACTTGTTTGTTTATCATTGTGACACAGCATGTGCCCACTGTGGAACCATCAGTGGGGCGCAGCACAGGAGACAGGACAGGTGTTTCCCAACCCCTCCCAGGCCTGCTCCCAGAAGCCCCTTCTAGGCATGTCTGTGGCTGGAAACAGCACACACACCCGCATGTGGTGTGACCCCACTGACCTATAAAAATGTATGTATACATCTCTGCAGACCTTTTTTAACCCAAGTGTTGCTAGACTGCCCTGTCCTACTGCTGCGCTCCAGAGCGTGGCCCTGCCTGAGCCACACACCTGGTGACAGATGCCCACCTGCTTGGGGCTCTTCACTGTGACACACACCTCTCAGGGCACTTCTGTCATGTTAGCACATAAGGGTGTTTCTCTGGAACACATTTGAGGAATTGGAACAGTCAGTTGAAAGAATATGCATACCTAATATTATTTTTATTGTGGTGAGATACATGTGGCATGCAGTTAACGTTCTGGCTGTTTCCAAGTGTGCGACAAGCACATTCCCACTGTTGTGCAGCCCCGTCTGCCTTCCATCACCAGAACTTTCTTGTCATGTCAAAATGAAGCTCTCTCCCTGTTAAGCACTAACTCCCACCCACTGGAGAGGAGACCTGACCTCTCCCTCCAGGGTCTCTGTCTGGGCCTGAGAATCAAGCTGACAGCAGACCGGACACAAGGAGCACACAGACTTATTCGATACCTGGGCGCCCACATAAGGAAATGAAGCCCAAAGGGGCAGCCCCAGTGCTCCACGCCGGGCTGGGCAGAGGCCGTGCGGACAGGCGCCAGCCCTGGCAGCCGAAGGCCGGCAAGCCCTTGCACCAGCTTGTGTACCGCTCCTGCAGCCGGGGGCATGTCCTCCCCCTGGGGGTTTTGTCTCCTACTTTTCAGGAAGAAAAAGCGTTCAGTGCGCCCTTCTGTCACACACCTGCTGTTTTTCAATCACCTTTACCTCATGCCAAAGCAGCATTTTGGGGGAAGGTGTGTCTGAACCTCCCTCAGCCCCGACACTCCCAGTCTACCTCTGTCTCTGGTTTTGACCCTCCTGGTCCCTCGTGTAAGTGGGGTCATGCAGTACTTGTGACAGGCTCGCTTCACTGGGCAGGGTGTCCTCAGGGCCCCTCCACATTTCATAGGCGGCAGAGTCTCTCCATTGTGGGATGGGCCTCGCTTACCCGTTCATCCGTCCGCAGGCGCCTGGTAGTGTCGCGTGCTGCTGTGGGCGTGGGGCCCTGCTTCAGTCCCAAGGGTGCCTGGGGGAGGCCTGCCGTTCACATGGTAGTTCCGTGTTTGATTTTTCTGAGGACCCTCCGAGCCATTCCCTTTCACACCTGCCAGCTAAGCACAGACATCTCCCATGTGCTCCGATGTTTGAATTTACTTTTACGGTGGCCGCCCTGATGTGTGAGGTGGTGCCTCCTGGTTTTGGTTCATCGGCGTTTCCCTGGTGATGACTGCTGCCGAGCATCTCACCACAGGCTGGTGGCTGTGTGTACGTGCACATGTCCATCTTGATAAATGCTGCTCAGTGACCACCCTAGAAGTGCCTCAGTGCCATTCACCCAGACCAGTGGGCACGTGTGACTGAGCTCTCCTGTGGTGGGGGAAGGACAGAGGGCACCGTTTCTGTCTGGCACACAGGACTTGCCGGTGATAGGGAGGAGCGGGAAGAGCTTCAGGTACAGCCAGGATGTCATATTGCTTCTGCTGGTGGACGGTGTGCTGTTCCATCTGCAGAGCGTCACAGCATACGCGCTCATGGGGAAAATCTCCCCAGTGACCTTCAGGTAAGTGCAGCGACTCCCAAGACACAATGTCCAGGTTGCTTGCAGAGGACACTTTAAATCTTGCTATCTTATAAAAAAAACTTGTGATTGCAAATGTGTTGTGATGGCCCTGGGCATGTGCCCTTATGACTAGGCTGTTTTCTATTAGTGCTGTTTGAGATACAAATGGTAAATAAAGTGTGTGAAGTTGATTTTTAGGGAAACCTCCACTAGAAATCTTTGCATTAGAATAGAAGTTTGCACAGGGTTGTAGTGTTTTTCTGTCTGAACAGGACTACCAGTGAGGTCCCTGCCATAAGGGAACGCTTTCTCCTCTCTGCGCAGGATAGAGCCGTGAGCCACAAGTGGCTGCTGAGCACCTGACAGGTAGTGAGTGCAGTGAGGAACTCAATTCTTATCTTACCTAATTCTACTCAGTTTAAATCCAAGTAGCCACACATGGCCATCAGCTCTCATATTGGATGGCACAGGTCTGGACACTCAGGTACTGGAGGGGTTTAGGGAGAGCTCCGTTTAAAGCCTAGAGAGTTTTTGGTGACCAACAGAAAGGAACGAGCTGGTGTCACCAGCAGGCCTGGACACCCAGACAGTGGTGTCAGCAGCTTGGGCCACCTCACGCTGTTGTGCAAGTCATCAGTCCTTTTCCCCAACTTCCAAACTGTCCCTGGAGAAGCAGGGTGTCCCCAGATATGAGGACAGCAGTCGATTTGACTGGGTCATGCCACTCTTGAGCACCACAGGGCTGCACCAGCAGCCTGAGCTTCCCCAGGTGCACACGCATGGCCCCTGCTGGCCAGTTCTCACTCCTCTCTGCTCCTTTCAGTCTGGCCCAGGTGAGCCTGGGAAGGACTTGACGTCACCTGAGCCCACTGTGAGCACCGTGCTACCCTGCTGCTCCAAAGTCCAGGAGCAGACCTGCGTGCGGTCCCAGTCACGCCGGCTCTGCGCTCTGCTCGGCCCTCACCTCGACCCCTACAGTGGGGCCCAGAGACCACTAGGAATACTGGGACTCTGTTCTGAAGCCTGGGGTGCCACTTCTCTGCCACGCGCCCTTGTTTCTTTTTGGGCCAGGGACTGTTTCCACGTATTCCCCAAACTTTGGTTCTCAGTAATCATTAATGATGGTTCAAAAAAGGATAGGAAATAGATGTTTTTATGGTTTTTTTCATATTAGAACAGCAATACTTACTCATGGGAAGTTTGGAAAAGGCAGGAAAGGCACAAAATGAAGTTTAAGTTAGCCATAATCCCAACTCAAAAGGTAACACTGTCAATGCCTGGGGTGTCTTCATATTAACTGTACAAGTCCCAGGGCTGGAGGCACAGGCCTCCATAAGGGCTCACTTTTCTCCTGGGTGCCTGAACGGAACTGCAGGTATGCCGGAAGTTCTCTCATTGTTTAGAGAGTAAGCTGCAGCCTTCAGGGCTAAAATGTCATCACATCTATTATTTACTTACAAGTATTTCAGTAAAAAAAA